ATGACAAGCACTGGAATAAACGCACCGATGAGGATCTTGGGAATACCTCAGATTCGTACCCTGATGGCACAGAGCAGATGATGGGAAGACAGGAAAGTGATCTCATACATACAGCAGCTTTACAACCTCCAAGGCCCTGCGGTCACCCTTGTCACTTGTTGGAAGTGGGATCAGAAGTTGCTGCTTTGCGATGTAGTCCACAGCTGTCTAAAAAGTCTGCTGAGTATTAATGAACTCAAGAAAACCCCAAGTCTGTGTGAGGATAGCTATCACAGTGTGGTTTATTTAGGATGGTCACTGGCTTTAAAACAACCGCTGCTCATCTGGAGGGTCCTACAAGCAACAGGTAGAACTGGTCAGCACCAGCACAGCATAAACAGAGATGCTTAGTCAGTTACAGTTTAGAGAGGACAAAGAACCTGAGCGCCAGCGGGTGTGTTTGAGAAGTTAAGGTTCTGAAGTTCTGGATAGGAAAAGGGATCCTGGGATAAAAATCAGTTCTACTAACTACACCAAGAAATCTGACCGTTCCATTTACCAATATAAAGAAGGCAAGAGCAGTTTAATTTAAAGGGCAAATATGCTGTCAACATTCAACCTAAAGAGACTGGTTTATGCAAAATCCACCCATGTAAGAAAGTTCTGGTTAAGTGGAGTTGGCGGCAGCTACTCTACATCTGCTGCTGCCTACTTGTCCGGAGTCACAATGCACCCACCGGTGACAGGGCATTCGAAGGAATCAACAGGGAAGGAACTCGGACCTAATATAGGAAAGCTTGGGCAGAAAAGAGGACTGAGAATTTCCATGAAAACCTCTAGTGAAATGGTAGCATTTGTTATTGAATCTTGGAGTTTTCTACTTAGCATAATAACATGTTACAAAGAAACGTGACAAAGAGTCACAAGCCTAACCTGGACACTCCACTGTCCTCGCCCATGTGTGCACAAACACGGATTCCACACTTCTCACTGTGCAGAGAAGGCTGAAAGCACCAGGAAAGCCAGCAGGAGACTGCAAGGGGCAGCTGGGCTCTCCTGCCCTGAGACAAATGCACTACAAAGGACCCTTGGTCCTCCCTTCCACACTTGACCTGACCTACAGCACACACTGGCTATGTCTCAGCCTGATGGAGACACTGTATCACTACTATAGTATCTCCGCACAGAGAGAAAGTCTGACCAATGGAATACCAGCATGTTCTACAGCTCCAGGTGGCACCCACAGACTGGTTACAGCACAAATTTAAACACTAATACAAAATCTGTAGTACATGTATTCAGATCATAAAACACAAATAGTAATAGACTTAGAATTTAAATGACCTCAGAATGGTAGAATGAGGACATTTTTTATTTTAATGTTTTAGTACTATCATCAATCACAAAAATAATTCTTTTTTTAAAAAGCTGAACTAAATGATTATATATCTTCAGGTGCTGGTACCATAAAAGAAATGGTTTCTGTTCATAAAAATGCCTCAAGTTGCTGGGTGTGGTGGTGCATGCCTTTAATTTCAGCACTCAGGAGGCAGAGGCAGGCAGATCTCTGAGTTCTAGGGTAGCCTGGTCTACACAGTGAGTTCCAGGATGGCCAGGGTTACACAGAGAAACCCTGAGGGGAGGGGTAGCACTTAAGTCTATGACCAGACTACCCTGAGGGAGTCCAACCTCACCTGATCTCAGAAGCTGATCAGAATTGGGCCTGGTTAGTACTCAGATAGGAGGAAAATGCCTCAGATCTCCTCTCTAAACAGGGTCCTGTGTTCACTGTGGAAGTCTTACTTACCCTTTGTAATAATGTAACACTAAATAGAACTGCAATTTGAAAACCTATTTAAACATATATCTTTGCATTTCAAATTCCACTGAAAAACAAAAGCCTATGTGACCACCCACACACAGAGCTTGGACTTAAGGACCTCAAAGTAATAACCAAAACCCTCATGAATTTTCTGGGAATACAGAATTATCAACATAATCCAATTGTTTTTTTTTTTTTTTTTAAGGAACTCAGGCAAAGCTAAAGTTTCAAAGTTAGTACTTTAAAATGAAGTCTATTTGCTGGGCTTTGAGCTATCTGTTGTCCCCTCTGAGCAACAATGACATCTGAGTAGTGAGAACTCAGAGTGCCTGCTGAGGTATCAGATACTAGGGCATAAAGCACAAGGTATAGGATATTTCATCTAAACCAAAAAAAGAACATTTCTATGATTCGTACATGCAAGCTCAGAGCAGAAGGTGTGGACGTGGGAGTAGGCCCTTCTCCCGTAGAGCACTGGCCAGACCCATCAACAGCGGACAAACTCCTAAACAGCACCAGGGAGCAATGTGAGGGAAGGCTAGCACTTCTGCGGGGTCTCCTCCACAGCACGCACGGGCACACTTACACACGATTCTCCCCCTTCCTCCTTCTCTCTGCTCACGTGTACACGGGGCTTTAGCTCTGTAACCAGGGCTGACCCGGAACTCACTCTCAGCCTCCCAAGTGCTAGCATTCCAGGTGTGCACCACCATATCACCAGACTATTTGCTAACAAGCAATGGCCGAGCCTGCCTCAAGCAGCCTCACCATTCCCTGCTTAAGTGAGAAGCAGAGCCATAAGCAGGAACAAGTTAACCTCAACTCCTGTCCTGGAAAAACACAGCTTTAATGTCCACCGCTCACAGTGGGTCCAGATCTCAGAGAAGGTCTGTCTCACGGGGAGTCCATGTCTCGTAGAGGTTCCATGGCAGAGAAAAGCAGCCTGGAGCTACTTCTGGTCAATCTGGCAGCAAAAGGCTACCTCTACTACAGGAAGATGCAGGAAGATGTATCTACTACAGGAGTGGCATGCGCTACTCAACCAACACTGATCTCCTTTATCTCATGCAGAATAAAGTGATCCTTCAAGGCCTGGCGCCAAGAAGTCATGGTCAACGCTGCCTTCTTCCACTCCCTGCAACTGTGCATCATGTTTCACTGCAACCCTGCAGATGTGTGGGTTCACCTTGCATCACATTGAACACTCATCGTCACACACCCAAGGAGAGCATTACCTGGAGCATTGTTGAAAAATGCCTTATTGCTTCATCATAGAGACCGCTGCCGACCAACACATAGGCAATAGCTGTGAGACAAAAGAGAAGAGTGTCAGCGAAAACAAGAAAGGCAGGCAGGCTATAGTCGGTCAGTCACTCTGCCTTATCTCAGACGGCAGCTCTGAGGAGGGGATGCAGTTAAAGAACCTAAAAGCAAGCAGACAGGATGCCCTGGGTCCTCCCTCCCACCCGCGCCCTCCAGCACTGGCTGGGCAGCCTGCAGGCAGCATGGAGCCTGGGATGCCAGCACAAGGGCCTATCTCATAGCTCTTCTCGGGCCCTGGCAGGCCCAGGCCTCTGGGAATGGAAGGCCCTTGCTCTGACTGGCTGCAAAGAGGCTGGCACGACTATCTCCTGCACTTGCCCACAAGGTGTTGAAGCATAAGTGGCTGGGGGCTGCCCGGAAACAGCGGCACTGAGTGAGCCCATGAAAGCAGGCCCCAGGCTGCAGAGCCGCCCTTCCCAGCCTGCTGCACCCAGACCCAAGACCAGCTTTCTGAAGTAAGAGGATGAAGACCTCTGAAGAGCAGCTCAGTCCTGCCCAGCTGCATGGGGATGGGGACCTCCGAAACCTCGCCGGACTCCCTGGTTCTTGCCTAATAAGCCAGTGGTAAATTTTTAGAATTCCCTATTTCCCCACAGCTGGTACTGTCTGCAGAATGAAGAAATGAGCTATAAAAGGAACAGGGGCTGGAGAGGTGCCTCAGTGGTTAGGAGCACTGGCTGTTCTTCCTGAGGACCTGCGTTCAGTTCCCAGCACTCCCATGGTGGCTCACAACTGTCTGTAACTCTAATTCCAGAAGATTCAACACCCTCTTCTGAACTCCAAGAGCATGTAGACAGTGTACATACACACACACATGTGAGCAAAACACTCATTCACAAAAGAAATATATTTTTTTAATTATTTAAAAAGTAAAATGAAATATAACTTCAGGGAAACCCTTGGTTTAAGAATATAGATCTGTCTGGGCCCTGGCTATCAAATTTCCCTCAAAAGAAAACAAATGGGGCCCTAATCTTGCCATATCTACCCACAACTTAAAAAAAAAAAACAACTGATCCACATCTCACTTAAATGTAGATAGCTGTCGGGGTCTAAATTTTACTGTGGAGATATACCAGAGATATAAAAGAAAAACTGGGATGGCTACAATTCCAGCAGAGATCTCTACAGCCAGCAACGCATCTCTGGACACAACCTTTGTTGACAGGCTCTTTTCTAAGAAAAATCTCCGTCACACAGAAGAGCCTGACTCAGCTCAGGCCCCACGCTGCTCCAGGGCTTCCTGGATGGTTCCTAAGAAGAAGTAAGGCAGGCTCAGGCCAGGGCTTTTCCCCCCTATTTATTTTTATTTTATGTGTGTGACTCTCTTGACTGAATGTATGTCAGTGCACCACACACATGCCTGGTGCTCACAGAGGCCAGAAGAGGGTGTCGGGTACCCTGGAGCTGGAGTTACAGTTATGGGATGCCGTGTGGATGCTGGGAATCGAACCCAGGTCTTCCGGAAAAGCAGACTGTGCTCTTAGCTGAGCCATCTCTCCAGCCTCCATACTAGGGCTTTAGTACCATTTACTAAATGAACATTCAACTAAACACGTGCCAATCATTTCACAAAGATCAGTCTGAAGCCTTAAAGGACAATTAGTTCTTAGAGTCACCGCCAAAGGACAGCACAAGAGGGGGCACTTTCCAAATGGTGGCAGTGTTCTGCAGTGACAAAGCAGAATAATGGACTTCACCATGAAGAATGGATGGCCAAAATTAGGATGAAATGGTCACTTGTCGGTCAAAAGAAAAATTCCTTGGGTACTTCCTGCAGCTAGTCATCTGTAGAAACTGGAGACCATCTGCTCTGCCTGTCTCTATGCTCATTATGGGTCCACTCTTCACATGTGTGCCCACTAGGTAACGGGGAGCACCCCAACACACATTAGATGCTGGTGAACCCCCATCTGTTTTAAATAAAGCATGCCAGGAATGGCCAAACCATGAAGCTCCTTTGTAGACCTGAGTGAATGTGGTTGTTCCACGCCCATATTGGCCCCACTAACTGTGACCTGCCTCCTGTGGGAGGTAAATGCAGGCCTGGTTATGTCACCACACCTAGGATGCTACTCTGAGAGTCTCTTCCGTTCCCTTGTTGTTCATGATGATGATGGCACATGACTCTTCTAGCACAGTATCAGAGCAGCTGACCTTATTAACTATTAACTTCCATAGAAACCCAGGGCTGGAATGGTCCTTACCAAGCACTGTGCAAATGCCTTTTCTCCCTCCCTCCCTCCCCTCTCCCTCCCTCCCTCCCTCTCTCCCTTCCTTCCTGTCTGCCTCTCTTTCCTTTGTTTGAGCCAGGGTCTCCTGTATCCCAGGTTGACCCCAAACTCACTAATTAGTCAAGGATACTGTAAACTTCCGATCCTCATCCTTCTACCTCCCAAGTGCTGCAATTATACCACACCTAGCTTGTGCTGTGCCGGGGACTGAACCCAGGGCCTCCTGAACACTAGGCAAGCACTCCATCAGTTGAAACACATCCCCAGGCCCCACCCAAACCTTTGGTCATGCACACCACACAGAATCTCAGGAAGGCCAGGGCAACCCTATCTGGCTTGGGTGGCAGGGCCAGTCTTCCAGCTCTCCTCCCACCTGGTTTCCTGCTCTCCATCCAACCACAGCTCTGGGCAGATGTTGCCAGTACTCCCAGACGGGATCCTCACCTAACTCTTCATTGGTGCTGTCGCTGTCAGTAGCAAATGGGAATCTCTTCTGTTCGGCGATAGACTTGGCCTGGCTCTGAAAACAAACAGAGATAGGTTTTAGCTTCTGACAAATGATGGAAGCCCTGCATGAAAGCCTGTATTTGAAGATGCTGGAGCTGTCTGAGCTCTATGGAAGCAGGAACATACGTGCCACTGTCTGCTGAGTTTGGAGAACACGGTTTGTAGGTGAATGCTTTGGTCCCCTAATCATCAGCCACTTCCGTTTTCAAGAGGAAGAAGATGTTCTCTATTTCATGGGGTTAGCCCTGTTGGCTACTCTGAGGCCCCTTCAAGTCTGCACATGCTCTTTGGTGCTTTTAATTATGTTGAGAAGATCACATTTTAGTCACCAGTTCTCCAGGGTGGCCTGAACACAGAATACCAGGTAAAGCATACAACTATTCCAGAATCCACAGCTACATGTTGGACATAAAGGCCTAAAAGAATCTGACCGAGAAACAAGACATATGACTAAATATTTCCCCATCAAGTAATGCACACAGCCATCTAGTGTAAGGCACCAGGCTGGCCCTAGGCAGACACAGAGATCATGTGTGGCCAGAAAGTTGCCACAGACACAATTCAAACTCCTAGGCATATATGCAGGAAACCCTAAATCAGAAAGGACTAAAGATCCGACACCTGGGCAAATCTAGAGGACGGGAATCAGGTGACAGCTCCAAACCTAAGCTTGTCTTTCCTTGATACACAGTGGAGCCCACTGGCACAAACACCCAAACAGCTGACGTAATGCAGTGTGACCAATGAGCCATACTGCCAGCCACAGTGAACTGACCAGTGTGCTCAGTGTGGTTACAAGACTTTCTTGTCATAAACCGCAGTGCTCTGCTTACCTATAAAGTCAAGAGCAAGCTAGCTCAGATCCAAACACACACAGGACAGAGGGTGCCACCTTAGGAGGCAATCTCAGAATCACAGGACTGCTTCACATTCTGGCTCTTGGTCAAACCTCGGTTACAAAGGAACTTGCAGTACAAAGTCCACAGGTGGGAACCTGGCCAGTGTTCAGCAAATGCAGAGTGGCAGGACACATACCAGAATCTTTTCAGTGTTGAGAGAAAGCAGGGAGTCACAGGGTGCTGAGCCTCTCAGTTCGCAGTCTGACTCATGGAAGTTCAAAAACGACGACTCTGCAAAGCAAACATTCTGTGTCACTCACTCATCTCAAAGGCCTTGGGTGCTCTGGCATAAGCTGAAATCTTAAGATGCCCCCAGACCAAACTAGAGGCAAGTTAAGAAAGCTCAGAGGCTCCCTGCACTCCAGCTGCATGGTGTCCTGCAGGTTACAAGTGCCCTGCCACCGGCACAAACAACAGCAGAGCTTCCTGAAGCGAGATGAGGGTCAGGAGGAAGTCAGGACTTATGCGAAGCAATGGGCAGAGCCAAAACCTGTCTACAACCCAGATGCAGCCAGTGGCTGGGGAGCAGCTGAATTAAACACCCCCCTGTGTGGCAGCAGCTGCCTCAGGCCTAAGACACACCTGCTCACGTGTATGCACATACCCGCACACAAGAAAAAAGCCTAGCTAGGAGACCTAACACTAGAAGATATGCACTAAGGGTCCAGAGCCCCAAATATAATAACATGTCCTACAACTCAATGAGAAAAAGACAGTCAGATCAGAAATAAGCAAAGGGCCTTGACTGGGCAACTTTCTAAAGATATACAAAAGCTACTGAGCACAAGAAAGGGCCATCATCATTAATTAGAGAAATGCAATTTGGACCCCAATAAGGATCTCCTCCCAACCCACAAGATGGCTAGGAGAAAGTGGAAACTTTGGGCACTGACGGAGGCACCATGCAATTCAGCACTGCAGAAAATGTGTTGGTAATTCCTCAAGTCGCACACAGAACCTCCACATGGCCCAGCAACTCCATCTCTGATTATATCAAGAACTGAACACAGGAACTCAAACAAATACTGTACATTCGTTTGTGGAAGCAGGATTCACAAACGGTGGTAACAGCTCAAGTATTCACAGCAGATGAACAGATAAACCGTGACAGATACACATGATGGATTATCCCACCACGAAAATGAAGTACTGATACACAGAACAACATGGAAAAATGTCTCATACATGAGTCTCAGTGACAGAAGCAAGACACAAAAGGTCACAGAGTGCACAACTCACAAATGTCCAGATGGGTAACTATGGAGACAGAATGGGAAGTGATGGTGTCTCAGAGCTGAGTAGATCAGAAGCAAGTAGATCAGAAATGCCTATGACGGTGGTTCTCAATCTGTGAGTTGCAACCCCTTTGGGAGTTGAATGACCCTTTCACAGGGGTTGCCTAAGACCATTGGAAAACACAGATAATTACATTATGATTCATAATAGTAGCAAAATTACAGTTGTGAAGTAGCAACAGAAATAATTTTATGGTTGGGGGTCACCACAACATGAGGAACTGTATGAAAGGGTTGTAGCATTAGGAAGGTTGAGAATCATTGGCCTATGAGGTAAGGAACCTCCCAGTGGGGACAGAAATGTTTGAAGTAGTTGCAGAGCATGAGAAATGTACAACTGCCAGTTACTCCAAGACAGTTTGTTTCGAGTCATGAGAACCTCACCCCAGCCAGCTGTTTAAAAAGTGTGTTGTGACGCCATGGTAATCAAGAAGCATCCAATTTCGCCCCAGGAACCATCTGAGGCAAAGAACAGACTGCTGAGCAGTATCTCGGGGCCACGAGAGCTACAACCAAAGGAACAAAGGCCAGACACTGCCAATGAGAGCAGCAGATGACCCTACTGGACCGCAGTCTGTGCTGGAGCTGACCAATAGGAGGCAGGGTGCCAGGGCTCTAGGACCAAGGGCACTTGCCACCAGGCCTGGTGACCTGAGTTCAATCCCTGGAAGCCACATGGCAGAAGGAGAACCGATTCCCAAAATTTTCCTTTAAGTTCCACAAATGTGTTGTGGCATAGGCACCTCCCACCCCATGCTCTAACCAAACAAACAAACGTAAGAAAAATCTTTTTTAAAACATAGGAGATTGGAAGGCCAGGCGCGAAGTACACCTTCAACCCCAATTGGGAGTCAGAGGCAGGAACTCTGTGAGTTCCAGGCCAGCTAGAGCTGCATAATGAGACCCTGTCTTTAAAAGCCAGAAATAAAGGAAGAAAGGGAGGGAGGGAGGGAAAGGGAGTCTTGGAAAGAAGGACTGAGCCTAGGGAAAGTACCCCATGCCACCTCACTGCTCCTATCCTGATGCCTTGCAGACTCCAGTTGCAGTAACGCGCATTCTCCAGTTGCAGCAGCCTCCCACCATGAGCACTTCACGTGTCCCATCCCTGCCTCTTCACTAAGCACAAATGTTGTTTTAATAAGCTACCTCGACCCTCATCTTTACAAACCTACCCAACTAGGATAGAGTCCAGCTGTGCCGAGAGAAGTTCGGAGAGTCCTAGCACTGCCGTTACTAGCTCACGCTGGCCTGGAACGTTCAATCCTCCTGCTTTACCCGCAGAGTGCTCCAGTTACAGGCGTTCGTCACCACACACGGCTTCACGCCACCTGAATCTACTCCAATACAGCACACAGAAAAACTCCCAGCCCCTATTTTCCTAATTGCTGGCCTGCACCGATGACTAAATCACCAACTGGCCCGTCATCTTCATAATGCACTTTAGCCGTTACAGTCTGCTTCTAAGCACCCATCCTGGCCCCAGGGAAATCTTAAAGATTACTCCAATTCAACAAAAGCCAGGTGAGGTGGCGAATGCCTGTAAAGAAAGCTGAGGCAAGAGGACTACCACAAGTTCAAAGTCAGCCTGGGCTATGTGGCAAGACTGTATCTCAACGAGCAAAACAAAAACAAAAAAACTCGACAACTTCTGTAATAACACAGACAAATGAAGTCTAAGCTCCAAATGGATACTTTTTTAAAAATATAATACTAATTCTTGTTAATTGAAGGAAGTATAAAGAAAGTATAAAACATTAAGGCATTTGGAATAGCCTAAGAACTGCTGTGAATTTTGTGTTTGCTGCTGTTACTCACTAGCTTTTTAGGAGTGACTGAGTGAATTAAGCAAGCCACCGTGTACAGCAGGTAGGGTTTCTGGCACAGGGAGAGACTGGCAAATGCTATTGCTATCATGTGGCTCCCAGAAAGAAGATTTGGTTCTAGGTTGCGGTTTTGTTTGAGGTGATCTTGTAGCCCAGGCAGTGGCCAGATATGAAGAGCCCAATCTGGAGAGGGAAAAGGGGAAAGCCTTTCTGTTACAGACATGAAAGACAAGCATCTGGCTGAGACATAGGGAAGAAGTCACCAGCGGCACCAGGGAAAAGAGAAGTCCAGACAGAGGGAAATGGTTAAGTCTGCCTTTATGTCAGATGCACAGGCAAGGGCCAAGTGGAAGCAGTTGCGTGTGGTACACACTCAGGGAATGCTGTATGGATATGATCTTATGATGGATCATTAGGCAGGACCACCATGATGGAATGGGAAGCTTCACTTACTAAGACAAAGAGCCAACACCGGCAGAGAACAAGATTCTAAGACAGGGAGACTGAATTTGCCTTCTTAAACAACTACCCCCTCGATAGATAACACAGTCTACATCTTACTCCTAAGGCCACACAAAGCTCTTACAGTGATTTGCAGATTGCATCAAACTCCTCTAAAGACAACTAGTGTGTCTCCACATTTCCCTTTGGTGGGCTGCTGGATATCTTACTGTACTTAGTGTTTTCAGAGAACCAGGTCTTAAATTTCATTGTACGTTTTTCTTGACTTTAATCTGACTGCTTTGGAGGCAATGTCATGCTGGCTCAGAGCTCAGGCACCTTGACGGTGTCTGATGCTGGGCATGACCCTCAGTTACCTTACTTCTGTGCCCCATTCTTTAGGATGGGAAGGGCCACTACCAACAGCTGCTAAGATGGCAGTCCAGCTTACAGAAAGCAGTCGTTACTCAGCACAGGTTGAGTGCTATTTTAAAATTATTACATTTATTGGTGTGCATATATATGGATGAACATGCCACGTGTGGACATCAAAAGATCCATGCTCTCCAACATGTGGGTTCCAAGATTCTGACTCAGGTTATCAGACTTAGTGGAAACTGCCTTTACCCACTGAGTGGTACATCTCTTATCTGAAATGACTGCACTGGAAGTGTTTTGGGTTGAGGATTTTTTTTTATTTAAAAAGAATTATGTGTATGAATGTTTTGCCTGGATTTGTGTATGTGCACCACATGTGTGTCTATCCTCAAAAATCAGATGAGGACATTGACTCCCTTGGAACTAAAGTGGTCGTGAGCCATATGGATGCTAAGAATTGAACCTGGGTCCTCATCAAGAGCAACAGGTGCTCTTAACTGCTAAGCCATCGTTCCAGCCGCAGACTGGGGATTTTGTTATTTTTTGAGACAGGGTTTCTCTGTGCAGCCCTGGCTGTCCTGGAACTTGCTCTGTAGACCAGGCTGGCCTTAAACTCAGAGATCCACCTGGCCTCTGCCTCTCAAGTGCTGGGATTAAAGGTATGCACCATCACTGTCCAGTGACTGGGGATTTAAAAATTCTGTATTTGAATAAGTATGAGCTATCTAGGGGATAGGGCCCACATTTAAAAAATAAAAAAAATCCATGTTTCACACACACCATACACATGTAACCCAAAGGTCACTTTGTGCAGTGTTTTCAATGACTCTGAATATGAAACAAAGCTTTATAATATAGAATTTTCTACTTATGGCACCATATAAGGGCTCAAAGTTCTGCATCTGGATCTATGCACATGGGTTGAAACCTCTTGCAGGCCACAAGAATATATCATAGAGATTCAGCTGTGTATTAAAGCTGAACTTTGACTGGCCAAGGGTCTGTGAAAACGCAAAGCCATTTATTATGATTATTTGGTGTTACCCAGCCTTTAATATTTCAGCTGTCAAATGGATGGAACTAGAAAAAAATCATCCTGAGTGAGGTAACCCAAACCCAGAAAGACAGTCATGGTATGTACTCACTCATAAGTGGATTCTAGATATAAAATAAAGAACAATCAGACCACAACCCATAGAACCATAGAGGAGATATATATATATATATAATCATGGAGGTCCCTAGGA